GTCAATTCTCTACTCCAGAATTAAAACTAAATTGGATATTTTTATTTCTTCCGACTGCTAGCACATTACTGGGTACCATTTGCTATCAATCCATTGCACAAGCTGTTCCCAGTTTAATGACTATTTGTGCCAGACCATAAATTTCAAGGTCAGCTCAAAGTTGTGCAGCACTGTGCCAGAGGATGCAGGAGTCTGTGAGTGAAGTTTCTTAGCAGTTCTCTCTAAGTGGTATTTCCACATTCATCTTATGGGGTTCTATACAACAGCTAATGGGGTGTTCTTACAGATGTCTCACCACCAAGAGCACAGCTTTAAAAAGATCATACTATTTGTTCTGTTTCGCTCTGTCCCTTTGACTTACGTAAATACCAAATATATAGAAAATTAAGATGCTTATTAAAATGTTTGCAGGTAAGATCTATTATCTGAAAATGCATCCTGACCTATTTTGAACTCTATAGACTTTGGCTACGTTTCTGCATGAAAAATGACTGAAACTCAGTCCTCCACTATGGTTCACAGGGTCTTTAAACTCTGTACTGTTTAACATATGATCCGCTTTGCTGAAGTGATCAGTATTGATCATGAAAGCAGAGTTAATGTGTCAGCAGTTTACTTCCTAATCACATGCATACATAGCCATCACCAACCAGATGCTTCCAGAGTAGATACTGGGTATTTGGGAAGGCACAGTCACCATTTCAAGCCACTGGGGCATCATTTGGCCAAATGTGATTGCTGTTACTTTCCATGAGAAACTTCTGTACCGAGATAATCTGACTGTTACTTTGTATCGAGAGTCAGAAAATCCATCTGTGCCTTGAGTAGATACATATTCAGGATAATGAAAAAGACAAGACACATTCAAAATGTTTAAATCAAGTTACTTTGGTTATTAATTAAAATGGTTAGTGCTTGGTACAGATCAAACTTTGAACTTGATTTAACCTTGAAGCCTAAACATATACACCTATCCTTCTCTGCTCAGAGTTTGGGCTTCTTGCGGATGGAAAGTTAGTGTTCCAGTGAATGCAGTCCTCTCTTTTCTCTCATGCAGAAATGCTTTCCCTCCTTTCTCCTCTCTATCACTCCTGCTAGGTAGGGTAGGAGTATGGGGGACATTGCAAACCAGTTCTGATATGAAAGTTGCAGGGCTACCTCTGACTGCTCTGAGTCTTGATCATTGTCTGGGTTCTTCAGCACCCTCCTGTCCCTAGGAACTCTGACTTGACATTCTCTGGCTAGAGATAATTTACTTTCCTCACTCCTGGGACATCTTGTGGACCTTTTCAGCTTCTGTGCCTAGGTCTGCTCACACTCCAGGCAGGAAGCAAACACTTTGCTGCAACATTGTAGGAGAACAGGATACCCCTATGTGGCTGTATTTCCAGGTTTCCCTCACCAGCCCTGGACAGGTAGATTCCTCCCCTTCACATATATTAAGCAAAATTCTCTGGGATTCCACCATTTGGGGAGTAAAAATATCACCTCTTTTATGGCTTATATCCATTTTTATTTTATTGTCAATCTCTCCACCTGGAGAGCTCCCCCACTATAGCTACAATGTCTGGCATTTGCTTGGTGAATGGCTAACTACCTGAAAAGCCAGTTTGGAAAATTGAGGATTAATGTAAACTGTAATTTAGTTTTTCAGATACTGCTCTTACCTCCCCCACCACTACTACCACCACCACCAAATCTCAACTAGAATGTAACCTCCAGAAAGTCAGGGAATTCTGTGAATTTGATGCACTGAATAGTCACTGAAACACAGGACACATGCAATAAATAAATACTTCTTAACTGGATTGGATGAATACTTCATACAACTTGGGCAGAGGAAATGACGAGTACACCCTGTGGCTTTTTCAGTAGATGGAGAATAGCCATGGCTTGAAAGAAGAGGCCCAGTCCTTTCCTAAGTGACTTTAGACATTATGTATTAAAAAGAATGCAGTGATCTCTTATATTTGTGGATTTTTTTCCTATGATATTCAAATGTCGAGCATCTTAAACATACACAGCCCTTAGAGGATAACTATATTACAAAATATAAGCATTATTGTTGTGTATGTGTTTTTTTAAAAATATTTTTAACATATGCTCAGATAGTCTCAGAATCTCACATAGTGAGTGTCTTTTGGCTCATGTGTCTTTGTAATTGAGATTTGGGGACACCAGAATTTTCTTCACACTATGTGTGCACACGAATGCATGTCAGTGTATGTGCATGTGTGTGCATGTGTGTGTTTTCTTTGTCACTTGATTTCTGGAAAGAGTTTGACAACTTTTCCTGCCAAGTTTTTCTTTGCAAAAGTTTAATCCCATGCAATTTCTGTGAATGAAACTGCTGATATTGGCCAGTGTCGCCATATTTTCCATATAATGTTGTTAAAATTCTACTACTTGCTATTTTACTTGTTAGTTTATCCCAGGAAAAGCAGATTTTATTTCTATTTAGTTTTGAAAATATCTTCACAACTTTTTCAAGAAGTTTAAAGTGCTTTGGTATATATTTTTGGTGATGTTGTAAATCAAAAGTCTCACGTTTAGATTTAATTTTAAGAATATATGACAGTTACAGTATAAATATAGTGATTTATTTTTGCTTCTGAGTTTTTAGTTCAGCAGCTCCTAAATAGGAACACACATTCTAATTAGTTTTTAAATTTCAATTAGAATGCTCTAATAACTCTTAGTGTCCTGACATTTTACTTGGCAAGAGGAATAATTGTAGTAAAATTTCTATGTAGAAGGCTACTAAGAGCAAAATATTAAAAGCACCAAGTTACTTAATGCAACTAAATGTAAATTTATATTCTTTGAGGCTTTAATTATTTGTTAATGAGGTGCCAATTGAGTGCTAAAGCATATTTATTGAGGTTGGACAGCAAAGATTTAACGCTATGACCATATTTGCTTGTTTGTCAAGAACTGTTCTTCCATAATTGTCACCAATTAAACATGGACACCTTCCTGTAGAAATCAGATTTTCATATGTATCCTATAATGGAATAAGCATTATTCTAAGTGATATTATGTCTATTTTATGTTTAATAATCAGGTTCCTGTTGGCTATGAAACCAATGAAGGTCCCAATGTCCTGGAGGGAGAAAAAGAGATAACCACATTCTCTATTCTCATTCTGGGTTTGTCACTTGTATACTTGCACCGATCTACAGAGATTTATGGTGCTTTTAAATTTTGTACTGTAAGTTTCAAAAGCAATGCTTTTTAGAAAAACAATTATACTTAACTATGTCCAAAGCTGCAAGTTACACATTAAAATACTTCTTTTTTTAACATGAGATTAATATGTAAAGGACTTTGAAAATAGATCAGACACATGAAATTTTGCCGAACTTATAACCAGAACACCTCTTGCAAGAAACACTGAGATTGCGTTGTGAGGGAAGAAACACAACTCTCCTCCTTTAAACACATGGGTGATTTTCAGACACCAAGTGCATGTGGGATGAATACTGAGTAGACCAAACTTGTTCCCACTTAAAAGAACATAGTCAGAAGGATGCTTCCCAAGTGGATACAACATTTCTGGTACAGAGTGTTCTCCGAGTTGCTGGAGGAAAAGTCCACATCATGAAGACTGTTAAGGCTGAGATTGGAAAGGGCCCAATAGTCCTGCAGATGGCTTTACTTAGTAGAGAAGAAAATCATGGAGCTGCCTTACATTACAGTGACATTCTAGAGAAAGATGTTTGTTTTCTAAGTGACCTTTTAAAAAAATAATTATTATATACAAGAACAAAGTGAAGTCTTAGAAAATTAAGGGAGTGCTAGAATTTTAAAAACTAATCGATCTTTACTTTTCAATTTTTTTCTTTGAAAATGAAACTTGATCTGTTGGTCTCAAGCCCATTCTAAATGATGCAAGTATCCCTTCTGTAACCCCATCCTTTCCTTTCCAAAATTCAAATATGGATATTCAAGAAAAAAATAAATAAATAAGTTAACAAAATACCATGCATTCAAGCAGGCGCATGTGTGCATGTGCACACACACACACATACTATATATATATATATATATATATATATATATATATATATATCTTTGATATTTTACAAAATTCCTTTGTGATGTCTGTGGTGTATTTTTCACTCGGTTCCGCACGTATGCTCAGATGTAATATAATATTTACATATAATAATTATATTCACAAGACTATTCTAATTGATGCCAGCTTGGAGTTGCTTACTGAATTTGGAAAAAAAAATCCAATAAGTATCTTTGGCAAGCATATACTAAAAGAGGAAGTTAAAGATTTGAAGAGAATGAATGAAGACATTTCCAGAAGGAATCAGCAAAAGGTAATATATTAAGGGGCCTGGAGTCCAAAGGAGATAAAACCTATAAGTTTGTACTCTATTTGAATATGACACTAGAGAAGGAGACTAATGTTTTTGGAATTTCAGAATATGAATTAAATGTACACTGTATTAGTTATCTGTTGCCTTGTAACATGTTTCTCCCCAAATTAGCACCTTAAAATAAAGCACATTTATTATCTCATTGTTTCTCTGTTTGCTGTGGGTCACTGGCATACCTGTTGCCCTCTGCTAAATTCCTTTCAAGGCAGTGAAGATCCTGTTAGTTGTCTGTGTGAACTGAAACACTGGTCATGGGTTTTCCAGAAAAGTCTTCTGGTGCAGTAGTACTCTCCCTACTGCCTCTGGTCTCTGAGGTGCTGTAGCAAAGGTCTCTGGTAGTTTACCTGGATTCTAGTTTCTGCTATCCCAGGTTGTGCCTGGTGGAGTTGATTCCCTCTGCTTAGTAAGTCTGGTGTAAGATCCTAAGTATCCAAACAATGCTCAGTCATTTTCCAGTTACAATTATGGTTCAGGCTGGGTACCAATTAAGGCTGGTATCAGCCCCTTTCTGCTGCACAGTCTCTTGCAACTTCCTGCTAGGTCTGAATGTTATGGGATAATCAGGCAGCTTCTCTCTGATATGGTGTTGCTGTGTTGTGATCCTGGGGACTGTCTCTAGGCTTCCCATGGTGCCTTCTTCCAGTGCCACTGGTTGGGTCCTGGTGAGTTGACTTTTCTTTGTTTAGGGCCAAAGCTGCTTAGTTGTAGCCTATGTCTGAGTCAAGTCTGTTTCTGATGGACAGGAATTGGGCCATGATTTATATGGGTACTCTTTCTCAGGGTCTTTCTCATAACTGCAATGAAGGTATTGGTTGTAAACATGTTTCATCTGAAAGCTCAAATGAAGGATAAACTTTCAAACTTTACCCACATGGTCATTGACAGGATTCAGTCCTCAGGAGCTGTTGAACTGAGGCTTCTGTTCTTCACTGACTGTTGTCCAGGGGCTACCAGGAGCTCCATGGTACTTGGGTCTTTATAAATGACATTTTGCTTTATTAAAGAATGCAATCCAAGAAAGCACTAGAGAGAGGCCAGAAAGATGTGTCATAGGTTTCTGTAACACAATTATGGAAGTGATATCCTATTACTTTTGTCATCTTCTATTCATTTACATCAAGTCACTAATTCCTGGCCACTTTCAAGGAGGAATGTTATATAAACACAGAGAGAGTCCGAGGTTGGGATCATTGAGAAATATCATTGGAAGCATTGCACCACATAACTACTGTTCTAATGCATAATAATCCCATGATTTGAGTAAAATTCCCTCTTAGACTTTAAAGATATTGTTTTCACTAATATGCAAAATCCCTGCTCCTTGGTGTATTGGTCCCTTATGTGTAATATACATACTAGACCAAAAGATGATGAACGGGTTGTCTAAGTCTCTTTTGGCCTGGGTGGAGAAATGACAATGCTAAAAGTGAAGAAGACAGCTAAATTCCATCAGTGTTCACATATACTCACTAACTCAGAACAAAACATATCAAAATCTCTCTTCTTTCTATCCATACCACTTTCCATTCTCTGCCACCCACCCCAAATACAAAATCTACAGCAACAAAACCACTTCAGTCAATAGGACATAAGTCACACCTACAAATTAAATAGTGAATATTTCCTTCAAGTCTTTCACATACTTGAATACAAATCATTCATGTTCCCTAGAACATTCCCTGGGTAGTGTGTGTGTGTGTGTGTGTGTGTGTGTGTGTTACTGGGGATTGAACCCAGGGACCCTCCACCACTAAGTTACATGAATCCCATTTTTTTTTGAGACAGGGCTTTGCTTAATTGTCCAAGCAGGACTTGAACTTGCAATCTTCCTGTTCAAGCCTCCCAAGTCACTTGGATTACAAGCACGCACCACCATGCTGAGTTCCCTGGGTGTTCTTTACAAAACAAGTGTCCCCCAAAATAAATGGATGCTTAGAAGTAAGAATATAAGAAGTAGTGTAGCATCTTTAATCCTTTTGGAAATATATTTTGTAGAAATAAAGGTTTGATAATTTTAGATACGCTCTCAATCTTTGATTTCTTGCAATATGGAACAGCTTACGATGCCAAACAGTAAAAGACCATTTTACATTTGCACAGTTGCAAGTTGCATAGTAGCAATCACAAATAAACAATTAACCTTGGAAAAGAAGAGAATCTATCATAGAGTATCTCTTATTTTGAAGGAACTCCTCATGACATATTGTATAAGGAAAAAACTACTAGTAATTATTGGTGTGAAGATGGTGGAGGAGGGTGTGTTTACCTGTCTGGATCTGGTTAGTTTTACTAAACCTACCAGGGCTATTGTGCCAACATTCAAGACATGCTATTCTGATATATGCCTCTTTGGTATATTGATTATGTTGAGTTAAAGGCTCTTGAAAAACAGTTGATGCAAGAACACTCTGACCTTCCTTTGTTCCAAAAGCAGAAGCTGAAATTCCCACAGGAAAGTTATTTCCTCTGTATTGAGTTCTCTCTCAGTTCCACACCCATACTCACAAGTAAAGTTATATTTAAATGTAATCCATGATTCATATCATCAGAGATGAAGAGCTGAGGCCAAGAGAAATATGTACCAACCTTGCTAAGCCAACCTTCTTTTCCTAGTTGTTATTCCACAATTACCTGCTTTAGCCCAAACTCCTTTGTTTTGTCATGCTTCCACAGTTTATTATTCTTTATTTATATAATCTTTTTATATAATTTATATAATCTTTTTGTCCTAAATGTATCTTTGAATCTTCATTACATCTCATATCAGTTTAATTCTTAGGCACAACTGGAGACCCTAAGTGGGTAGGGAAGAAATTTTGTTTCCCATACAATTATATCATGGAGATTACCAGGTAAAGGACATAAATGAATTAGTTTTAATATGTACATTAGGTTGCATTAACTAAACTCTTATTTAGAACAAATTAGTCAGCCTACTGAATTTTGTAACTTCTGAGTGTGGGCTAAGATTTGTATAGGGATTTTTGTTTGTCTAAGTCAACCCATTTATTCAAATACTACATACTAGCATATCTTAAAGAATGGTAGAAATAGTGGGACAAGACAGCCTTTTTCTTTTTTTTTTAAAGAGAGAGGAGAGAGAGTGAGAGAGAGAGAATTTTAATATTTATTTTTTAGTTTTTGGTGGACACAACATCTTTGTTTGTATGTGGTTCTGAGAATCGAACCCGGGCCACACGCATGCCAGGCGAGCGCGCTACTGCTTGAGCCACATCCCCAGCCCAAGACAGCCTTTTTCTCATAAAGTTTTCACCCTTTCAACTATTAAAATATTTGTTCTACTTACATCAGTACAAGTGCAAGGAAAGAAGACACAATTATTCATTGTTTACTTAACAGTTTATAAAACTTAGTAAGCACACACTTTAATAAAATATTTCTGTTTGGGCAGATGTAGTCCATAGTAATTTCAAAGTATTTGCATTATTGTTGTACACACAAGTCCAACTTTGCTTCTCTCAAAGGGCCACAGTTTTAAAAATATCACTGTTAAAAAAGATTTACGACACAAAAACATCATAGCTGTGTTCTTTCTTTGTTTTAGGATTTCTGAATTAAATATATTAAATGTCATACTGAAGTTTTCTTGTTTCTTCTCCTTATCTAACTACCTAGGCTTTCTTCTTAGTCTGACTTCCTCTACCCCAAATACCCAGCTGTCTTCAATTATCATCTTTCTTCATATATATTAGTCATATTGTTGCCCTTCTTTTTCATTATTCTGTACTTAGTACTACTGAACACTTTCTATCATCATCATGACCATTTTTTTAAAAGGTTCTCTCCATCTCAGTTACAATACTGACATCCTTGTACATCCCTCCCTAAGAGAGTTCTCCAACTTTCTTAAATAATTATGACTACAGATTGCCTAGTCTTACTCCAGTCTTTATGGAAACAAGGTTTTAACCTACAGTTCTTCTTAGTTACTGTTTCCTAAATCCAATGGCTTTCTCTGTTTCCCCCTTCATTTAACTGAGGAATACCCTTAAATAACCCCTTAAGAAAAGATTTGTGGGAGGCAAAATTTATGAATATTGACAGTATGAAAAGGTCTACCTTAATACTACTACTGATAATTTAATTAGGTACATAATTAAAGAAGTATGTAAAAGAAAGCTTTTTCTGCTTGCAAATTCCAAGAAATACAGTTTTAAGTACCACACCATATTTTTTACATTCTATTAGAATTATCATTTCTGAGTTCAAGACCAAGTTCCAAGGATTTTGTAGAGAATACAATCTCACTCCACAGATGTAGACCCTCCATGCAGGTTGGGTGTTCTCTTGACCTGTCTCATCAGTCTGACATCTCCATCAGCTGTCCATCCTCCAAAAATTTATTGGTATCTTCTCTATCATTCTGTCTTCTGTTATGCATTTATGCATATTTGCTTATTTATTGATATTAGTTCTTATGGCTCCTGGTGGAAGGATGTTTTATTTTAAAATAAAAACTCATTTCAATGTAGCAATTATTGAATTTTAGCTTTATTACTTAAATAACTAGACTAAATTTTTGTTAGTATTTCAATATCTATTCAATTATAAACAAAACCTCAATAGGCATACTGTCGTTTTCATGTTAGAAGTAGTGATTGATAGCCCTTCCACTGTGATCTAGTAGTTGTGATGAAAGGAGTTTGAACCCTCAAATTCTAGTTCCTCTAATAATACACTGTATAAACTCTGGGATAGTTACTTAGTCACCTGACAATATAATCTATCTTGATTTAGACACTACAGTAAAGATTAAAGATCAGTATATTAGGGCCCAGTATTATCCGTGCCCAATAAGTAGGTGCTCATAAACTTCCAGTTCCATTGTTCTGATTTATTTTTTGTAGACATTGGTCCTTCACACAACATGGATAGTTGCCAATCATCTCCAGTTGATCTTCTTCTTAATTCCAAAACCCTCATCCTAATTCAGAATTTATTTGTCCAAATCACCTCGGGTGATGTAACATCACCAGAGATTCCTACTTTAAACTCCAGTCCTTCTGTTTAAACTTCTGAAAGTGTAGCTCTGATTATGCCACCTGTTACTTGTCTCCTCAACTATCTTCAGTGGCTCCCTTGCCTCCATTAAATTCAATGTGATTCTCTTGCCTACCCCACTCCCTGATATATATATATATATATATATATATATATATATATATATATATATAACCCTTTCATTCTAGATTTGTCTCATACAAGTTTCCTAAATGTACCCTTTATTTCAATAATGTTTTTTTCATTTTTCTCTGAACATGTGATATGCTTTCTCATGTGTGGTATTTCTTTTGTTTGTTTGTTTGTTTTCTGATTGAAACATTCAACTCTCAGTCTGACCAGTCAAAATTCTGAATAAGCTCAGCTTGCACCATGTTTCATAGCTTTCCAAAAATCTTGAAAGCAGAATTGTGCTCTCAAGCCTTAGGAACCTGAAAGCATGCTACTGGAATTGCCCTACATCCACATATACAGTGTTTTCCATGATTACCTCTACCTGTGTCTCAACTCACCATTGTGTTATGAACCATTTAGAGGTAGGAGCTACATCCTATTCTCTCTGTTTCTCCATAACACCTGCAGTAGTATCTTACACTTCCTAGAAAACAATCATTGTTTCCTGATTGAATTAAAACATAAA